ACCGCGCCGCGAGTGAGCAGGATGAGAGCCCTGGCCGTCGCGATGGTCAAACGACCTTTGGCCTCTGGGGCGCCCTCGTGCTTGTGCCGCTTCCACTGCCAGTAGAGGACGGTCCCGCCGACGTGTAGCATGGGCGTGCTCGTGATGGCGGACACGCGCATGTGTGCGGGCACGTCTCGTGTTGGCCAGCAGCCTGAGACATCGCAACTACGCGCAGGTGCGGTGGCCGCGCCCTTTGAAACCGGCATGCTGCCATTCCTCCTCGCGGCGGGCCCCAGACTTCCTGGCAGCGGCGGCCTGCTCCTCCCGTGGCGCCCGCGCGCCTGGCCCCTGCGAAGTCCACATGGGGCTCTCGCGCACGCGATGGCCGTCCAACTCCGCCGTGGCGCGGGCGTCCGCGAGCACGCGGCGCGCGACCAAGACTGCGAGCTGCGCAGCGATCTCGACGTCTCCGCTGACGGCCTCTCCTCCTCCTCCTCCTCCTGCTCCTCCTCCTAATCCTCCTCCTCCTCCTTCTCCTCCTCCTCCCCCTCCTCCTCCTCCTCCTTCTCCTCCTCTGGGCTTTCGCCTCGCCCCCCTGCAGGTTCGGGCCCGCCCCTCCCCCCCCCCGATGCGCGGAGGCGCCTGCGGCTGCTACGGGCCCCAGCGGTGGCGACGCGCGCGCGCTACCGGGGGCGGCTGGGGAGGGCTGCGCTTCCCGAGGGGGGGCCGACTGCGGAGGCGTCTGCACAGGTCGCCCAAAGCAGCTGCCCCGCGGTGAACGTAGATGCACGCGCATCAGGGGCCGAACGGGCTGAGCAGGGAGGGCGGCGAGGGCGCTTCCTGCTGGACATAGCCACGTGGGACTGCTCGCTGCTGGCGTCTACCCGCGCTGCCCCTGCGCCCGAAGGCTCGACGGCAGACAGTGCATGTTTTTTTTTTTTCTGACGGGGTCAATCGTGCACGCGCGTTTCGGACCGACTGCGCAGGTCTCACATGATCTAGCATGCCTCGATGTGTAATGTAACGAACGAGCAACCACACGTTTGTTTCCTTGCTCGGTTTCACAGCTGCCGCCCAATCGCACCGCCACTCAGAGTTCCGCCTTTCGGATGGGTGGCTGGATTAGGAGACGCCGTTTGCGTGCGAAGTAGCGGGACAGAGCGCAACCGAGTACGAACTCCGCTCTCCGTGAAATCAAACTGGGTGCACTCTGTAGAAACGTCTGTGTCGCACACGCACCCGGAGCTCTGACTGACAGGGCTACGCGCGTCCTGCCCGTTGTCGAGGTCCTCCGCCGCCGTCTGGACATCTCCCCAGGGCCCCCGTCGCGGTGGTGGCGCTTCCGCAACGCGGAACATACCCCACTAGATTGGCGCCCCGATCGCCCGTGACCTCCAGGGGCCCAGATGGTAACCCAGCTCTTGGAGGAGGAGGAGGAGGAAGAGGAGGAGGAGGAGGAGGAGGAGGAGCAGGAGGAGAGGGAGGAGGAGGAGGGGGAGGAGGAGGAGGAGGAGGAGGAGGAGGAGGAGGAGGAGGAGGAGGAGGAGGAGGAGGAGGAGGAGGAGCCCAGCCCGCGTGCCAGGTAAGCCTCCGCGTGGCCAGTTCCGCCTCGGGCTCTGCGGCGCGCCACTCGGCCCGGATCTGCTCCGTCGCTCTCGCGCCGCGCCGCGCATAGCCACCTCGCGCCGCAGCTCGCCCTCGCACTGCCCGTCGCCCGAATCTGGCGGCTTGGCCATCGAGGCGTCCTCCTCCTCCTCCTCCTCCTCCTCCTCCTCCTCCTCCTCCTCCTCCTCCTCCTCCTCCTCCTCCTCCTCCTGCCGGCGCGGCCTGAGCCCGAAAGGGCCGTGCCCGTTGCAAGTCTCCAGAAGATGGTGCGCACGCGCCCCGCGTGATAGAGAACTGAGCCCACACGGGACGCGCATCGTGTGCTGACCACGATCTCGACGGGCTGCGAAGTTTCAAGCACGGGCCCGGGATGCCTGGCAGTGTCGGTTGAGACGCCCGGTCGGGATTCTGGGCGCGCTCTTGCCCACCGCTTGCAGGCGGCGGCTCCTGCGCCGTGGAAAAGCAGATGGAGCTATACTCTATTGCCAGACTTCTGGTACGCCCCACTTCCCCCAGTTTGTCACGCAAGTTGTCGTCGGCAGCCTTCAGAAACTCCAAGAGAGTAACTAGGATCTGCAAAAGCTCTAGATGAACTTGAACAGATCCGTCTGTACGCGCGCACCTCCCCGCGTTTGCGCGCGAATCCCTCCATCGGGACGCCGCGGTAGAGGCCAGGGGTTCCTTTGTTGGGCCGCCAACTTCCAGCGTGCGATCGGTCTAGCAAACACGCCCCGAAACAGCTGGGCGAAATAGCCCCCCACCCCATATGAAGCCTCCCTCTCCTGTTCTTACCGTCGCCTCCCTCTTCGTGGCCCCCAGTGCGACGGCACGTGCACGTGCCAACACTCCCAGGTGTGGCGCGCACGTGAACTGCTTCCTTCCCCTCCTCCCAACTGCTCTGCCCTGCGCCAGTCGGGTTGGGCGAAAGGGGGGGATAGCAAAGGGGGGGGTGAAAATCAGCTCACGTAGCTGATTTTCCCGGCGCCTCCCAGCGCCGGAGGCGGCTATGTATCGAGGAATGGGCCCCTCGGTGAGGCCGAAACCAGCTGCATGCAGCAAATTTCGTACCCCCCCGTTTCCCAATCCCCCCCTTTCGTCCGGCCCGAGCCAGGCGCCACCCTCCGCGCTCCGATGGGATGGCGCCGTCCAGGATCACGGCACTCGTCGAGGCATCGCGGGGTGGTCTGCTGCGTGGCCGGCACGCCGCGCCGCGCCCCGGCGACGAAGAGGAGGAGGAGGAGAAGGAGGAGGAGGAGGAGGAAGAGGAGGAGAGGAGGAGGAGGAGGAGGAGGAGGAGGAGGAGAAGGAGGGAGGAAGGAGGAGGAGGAGGAGTGGGGGGAGAAGAGGGAGGAGGAGGAGGGGAGGGGAGGAAGAGAAAGAGGAGGGGGAGGGGAGAAGGAGAAGGAGAAGGAGGAGGAGGAGGAGGAGGAGGAGGAGGAGGAGGGTGGTCCACTCGCCCACGGCGAAGGCCCTGCCGCGCAGGAGGCGGCCGTATCTCGCTGCGCGGCGCCAGGCAGGCAGGCACCTCTGCCAAGCTCAGCAGGCGCACGGCGCCTCCGCGGGTCTCCCTGCTGCACCGCGCCTCGTCTACCTCCCAGAGTCGAGTGCCCGGTCGCCGTCGGTGAAGCCGATGACTTTGTAGCTGGACACACCAATAAATACACACAAAGACAAAAGGATTCCCCATAGTTTCCCATATGTTCTGGGTGTTTGTCTTCCCCCCCACTTCCCATGGTTTCCCATACCTTCCTGGGACTCGACGAATCATTGTGTCTGTGTGCGTTTGTCCCCCTCCTGAGTCATACGTGTTCCAACTTTGTCTCGCAATCCTCAACGGTCGCGTCAACTGCATCTGCGCGTGCCAATTGCCGCGGGCAGCGGCGCTTCAAGAGTTGCTCGCGTTGACGTTTTGCCTGCTGGTTCGTCTTGTCACTCGTGATCTCTGCTCCGAAAAAAAAACAACTACACAACTGATCTGGGAATATCTCCCAAGAGTTCAGGCGTCTGGTCGCGACGGTCTCGAGTGAGCAGCTCGCGCAACGTGTCCCCGTCGGCCTGCAATTGGGCGCTAACAACTCGGAGAAATTCGGGTCGGTAAACTCCCTGTCGCCTGGCTTCCACCATGGCGTCCGACGTTCCATCTCGGTTTCACGTGCTTCCTACGCGGAGCAGGATCTTTCATGCGAGCAATTGCCATATAGATAAGGACGTGAACCCGAGGCGATCGTTCAGGAAAGGCCTGAATTGATGCGCCCAGTCTGTAGCGTGAGGGGCACTGATTGACAAAATCACTCATGCCGAGGGGCGCGCATACACAGTACATACAACTCTGCCCACCCTATTGCCTCAAATAATGTCGGCTAAAGGAAAGCAGCGCAATCACTCATTGTCAGCATCTGGGGTTGCTCATGAACTACGCGAAATCGTTATCCAACACAGTCTCGGCAACGTTCGTTATTGTAACCTTATCCCACCGCGCCGGTTTCCATGATGGTCCAGGTGCCGGAGTTTCTGATAAGGCCCTTCATACAGGTGCAAGATTATCTGCTGAAGCCCTGGCCATCGTGTATGTAAGTCGGCGTAGAGGATTGGATTGCTTCGATAAGGAAGGGCCGTCAACGCATTGTCGTATTCAATGAAGATTAAGACCGTCTTCAAATAATTCGGGGTCTCGCGGGCGTCGGCTGCGCAAGAAAGCGCGTGACCACTACGGTGACGTCGAGGGGTCCGCAGTGGATGCGAACCGCCAATGCCCGCCCGAAAGCCCTCAAGGACTAGCCCGAATACGCCGAATGCGTTGTTACAAACTAGCGATGCAACATCACTGCACATCCGGTCGATCGCTTTGTGTAGGGACCTTTCAGCATCCTCAGCCTCAAGAGTCAGGCGTCCTGGAACCCTACGAGAAAAACATTGTCGCTCTTGCGGTGTGACTAGGGGCCTGCCGAAAGAATCACGTCCATGCTCGGGCATGCCAAGATCGTATTTGCCATGCGCGATCCCGCTGTGTGCAAAGGAGTGAACCTAATCACTCGGAGAGTCATCGGCCAGCGGGCCGCCTTTGCCTGGCTTGTTGGTGGGCGAAAGGCCTGACGAGTCCCCTGGTGGACATCATTGACGCCGTGTGAAAATCTGACTTGGGCTGTCATGGCACCGGAGGAGGGCGAGGAGGAGGAGGAGAAAAAGGAAGAGGAGGTGAAGGAGGAGGAGAGAGGCAAGGAGGAAGGATAGAAGGAAGGAGGGAGAATGAAAGGCAGAAAGACGAGCAGGAGGACCAAAGGAAGGTGGCAGAGGAGGAGGAACGGGCGCGAAGAGCAGGGAGGAGGAGGAGGAGGAGGAGGAGGAGGAGGAGGAGGAGGAGGAGGAGGAGGAGGGGCACCCCGTGGCCCCGTCGCCCCCTCCAACGGGCCGTCCTCGAAGGTCGTGGCCGCCAGCTCGAGGATGTTCGAGGAGTTCTGGTACATCAGCATGTCCGGGTCGAAGTAGAGGCAGAGGTCCACGTCCTGGCGGCGCGCTCCGGGTGGGCGAGCGCTCCCAGGCCAACTCCGCTCCCGGCCGCCTGCCTGCTGCCCTGGAAGGGGGGGGAACGAGGGAGGAGGAGGAGGAGGAGGAGGAGGAAACCCCACTTAAACCCCAAGACGCACCAACGTAAACCCTCCCTCCAGACTCCGCATTCATAGGACCCTCCAAGACTGTATTCCATTGCGGGAAGAGGACCCCTAAGCGCGCCCAAACAGTATTCCTCAACGCCGCGAATTAGCTTGACTCTGACGTCCTGACCATCCTAAGCCTCGTCAGAGCATCATTCCCCGGACCGAAGCATATCGAATCGCGGTTCCTGTTGCGTCTTGACAATCCTACATCGTGCCAGGACGCATCTCATGGGTCTTCAACCCTGGGAATCCTGCAAACACCTGCGAACTGTTGAGAGGAATCGAGGAATGCGCGTGCCGCTGAAGCGAGAACAACAATTTACAAAGGAGCCGCTGAAGTTCGTGAAGCTGTTGCACCATTTAAGAAGGACGTGTGCGGCGCTAAGCAAGAGCCACTTTCAGAAAAACGATCGCCCTCCATCCTTGAAGATGCTTCAAATTGTTGAGACGAATGTGTGCGCGGCGCTACACCGAAGACCGCATTAAAAAAACGAGCCGATATCCATCCGTGAAACGATTGCAAACTGTTAAGACTGATGCGTGCGGCGCTGAAGCAAGAACCACAGTTTGAAAACAAGCCGCCCTATTTCCGTGAACCTGTTGCAAATCTCAAGCTTCAGGATCAAAAGCGGTGAGGTCTCAAGCGACAGGCTCTGCCCGCCCCACCAACGCGACTGGGGGTACGACAAGGAAGAGTTACAACCGAAAATGTGATGAAGGGAATTATTATTATTGAAGACTTCTGGGCCAGTGTCCCTGACATTTCTCAAACGCACCTGGCCAATGTCTGCCGCTCATACTGGAGGGGCGAACGTGCTCAAGAAACTGAGCCGGCTTTCTTGCAAGCTGGTTGAGAAACGCTGGCCCAGCTTTTCGGGAGGCTTCTTGATCAGATGCTCGACTCTATAAAGAAAAGGGATGGGGGAAGGAGGCAGGAGAGCCCAGAATCGAATCGATAAGTCGGATCGGCCAGCGAAATAAATCGGATCGGAGAAAATCGGCAACCGAGAAGGGAAACATCGAACCGGCGGCAATCGGCAAGCAAGTAGACTTCCATTGAGAAATCGGAGCCAAAATCGGAATCCGAAGCCGAAACGACTAGGAATCGGAGGCCATCGGAATAGACCCGAATCGAATCGGAGGAACCGAAATGAGCCCTGGGGGAGGAGGACGAGGACGAGGGAGGAGGACGAGGAGGAGGGGGGGGGAGGGGGGCAGAGGAGCCGCAGCAGCCCAGGGCCCCGGGGGGGCGGCGCAAAGCCTCGCTGCTGCCCGCGGCGGACCCCCAGAAGCGATTTACTTCAGAACGTGCTGTAAGTCACCCTGATGACTTTCGGGGCGCTCATTCTGGGATCCCTCGAGCCCCTGAAGGAAACGCAGACTGCTCGTTCAGCGAGCAGTGCACGAACGCGTTCGTGGCATGGCTGCGGCGAGAAAGGATCCAGTCTGAGGCAGCTCGGTTCTGTAGTCGATCCCCTCTTCGGGGGCGGCGACGAACGTGAGGACGAGCGGGAGGCGGCGCTGCGGCAGGAGGGGGCGGGAGCGGCAGCGGCAGCAGCAGCAGCAGCAGCAGGAGGAGCAGGCGCAGGCGTCGCGGGACAGGCGGCCCCCGCCCTCCCGTTTGGCGTGTCCCACTCCTTCGCCGCCTACGCTTGCGAGGACGGAAGAGGTGAGCGGGAGGTGAGGGAGTGGAAGGAGGAGGACGAGGAGGACGAGGAGGAGGAGGAGGAGGAGGAGGAGGAGGATGAGGACAGGGATGAGGAGGAGGAGGAGGAGGAGGAAGAGGAGGAGGAGAAGGAGGAGGAGGAGGAGGAGACGGAGGAGGAGGACAGGGAGAGGAGGATGAGGAGGAGGAGGAGGAGGAGGAGGAGGAGGAGGGGGGAGGAGGAGAGGAGTGAGGAGGCGGAGGAAGAGGAGGAGGAGGAGGAGGAGGAGGAGGAGGACGAGGAGGAGGCGGATGGGCGGGTGCTGCCTTCTCCACACCTCCTGTGGGCCGCGGGCTTTCGGCATCGTGGACGCGACGGCGGCTCAGCCAGCGCCCGCGCAGCAACAGGAGGCAGGCCTGCCCGAAATCGAACCGCAACACCCGATCGGAGCGCGAGCGAGCCGAAGTCTTCCCGGATCGAAGCGAGGCCGAATCGCCGCCTGGCTCTGGCTGGCTCTGGCCGATGCCAGTGACATGCAGCCGACTCGATTCGAAGCGGAATCGCGGCCCCAGCCGGCGGATCGAAGCGCATGGAATCGGATCGCGGGCGGCCCTGGGAGGACGTCCTTGTGCTCTGGCCTCATGCACTCCTCCATGAAGCTAGTCATGGCGAAGAAGTTCGACAGCATCTGCGCGCGCTCGCCTGGGTCAGGGGACCACTCGGGCGGGGGCGCCCTCACGACGGGAAGGAGGAGGAGGAGGAGGAGGAGGAGGAGGAGGAGGAGGAGGAGGAGGAGGGAGGATGAGGAGGAGGAGGAGGAGAAGAAGGAGGAGGAGGAGGACAGGGAGGAGGAGGAGGAGGAGGAGGAGGAGGAGGAGGAGGAGGAGGAGGAGGGGGAGGAGGAGGGGGAGGAGGTGGAGGAGGAGGACCAAGAGAGAGGGGGGAGGCGGGCACTGATCGGGACTGGGAGCCTCGTCCTCGTCCTCGTCGTCGAGGCTGGGGAAGATTATGTTGCATCCTCGGGGGACCTTGTCTGTCCCGTCGCGGTCCTGTCCGCGTCGAATCCGTGTCGAATCCATGTCGGACGCGTCAGATCCGTGTCGAATCCGTGTCGAATCCGCGTCGAATCCACGCCAAATCCGCGTCGAGTCCGCATCGAGCACGCGTCGGACCCCCAAAAAAGAGACCAATTTTTGGGACAGGCGAGGTCCCCCGAAGATGCAACAGAAGGAGGGGCAGGGGCCCTCCACGGCCCAGTGTTTCCCAAGCCGGAGCTGGCGCTCAGGGGCTCCTGCTCGCGCCTCTGAGCCTTGTGGGCCCCGGACACGGCGGGGCCGTCATTTCACCGCTTCCCCCAGAAAAATGTCCCTTGAACATGAAAACGGCAACAAAAAAGCAACCGGAAACGGCCAAAAAGACGGCTCCAGGAGTCGAACCGGAGCTGGAACCGGTCAAAAAACGGCGACGGAACCGGTAAACAAACGGCGTCGGAACCGGTAAACAAAACGGCAAAACGGAACCGGTAAAAAAACAGCCCTGCCGTTTCCAGGGCCCACTAAGCCTCTGAGGAACTGGATGAAGTCCCGAGGGTGGGACGCAGCTTGTCGCCACTTGCGCCGCTGAGGGGAAGGCCGCACCGCACCAACTCCGCACGCATGCGAATCTGCGGCCAGCCTTGGCCTTACAGCCTCCACGGAGTCTGCGGGCGAAGTGCCCCCTGACCCAGACAGCGGGAGGGTCGCGCTGCGCAACTCGCCATCACTCGGACGTCCATTCCCTGTTTTTGTTCGGTTTCGTGCGTGGCTTTTTCTCCAAATGATCAAGGATGCTCCTCGATGGCCCTCGCCGAAGGAAAAATGCACACGTCCGAGCGTTTCCAAGGCAATTGGCTTCGCGCCGAGGGGTGATCTTTCGTCTGCCCGGCGGGATGGTGCCGTCGGCAGAGGCTGGCCGGGCCTCTGATTCCCGACGCCTGCTTCCTCGGACGGAGCCCGACGGCTGCTTCTTTCCCCCCGTGGATGGGTGGGAAGCTCGGAGCGAAGAGCGTGTCCCGAAGATGGGGGGAGGTCAGGGCGTATACTGACAACCTACCAGACCACCCCAACCCAACCCGAAGACCCGAATTTCGGGTTGGGGGAGGTACGGGTTCCGTACGTGTATTCTCAATGTTCCCCGACCCCCCCCCACTGGAAATGGAGGGCAAATGGAGACCTTCGGGTTGGGTTGGGGTGGTTGAGTGGGTGGTGATATACGTCTTGCCTCTCCCTCGGCGGCGAGCCCACGGGGGAAGCGAGGGGGGGCGGGCCTCCCCAGAAGGCTCAGCGGCTCCTCCTCCTCCTCCTTCTCCTCCTCCTCTTCCTCCTCCTCCTCCTCCTCCTCCCTCCACCTCCTCCTCCTCCTCCTCCTCCTCCTCCTCTTCCTCCTCCTCCTCCTCCTCCTCCTCCTCCTCCCCACCCTTCTGGGAAGTTCCTAGCCCCTCCCCCCCCGAAGGCGCAGAAAGTCTGCCAGAGGGCGCGAGGGCCCACGAGGCGAAGCCCCGCCGCCTCCTGCAGAGGGCCTCCTCCTGCTCACCCTCACCCTCGCTCGCCGCCGCTTCCCCTTGGGACCTGGGAGTATGAAGGGGCCCTGGGACACACACACAACTAAAGACAAACAAATAGCAGGATTCCCCCTATTTCCCAGTATATTTTCGGGGCTTTGGTCTTCCCCCCCCCCACTTCCCATCTTTTCCCATACTTTGGGGGGAATCGGTGATTAATAATTGGGTCTGTGTGTTTCGTTTCCCTCCTGAGAGTAGAAGGACCGCGAGGACGACCGCAGACCTTCTTAAAACAGGGCTAGGATCGGGATAAATCGCTCCAGAGCGTTCCGGAGCGTTCTCAGAGCGTTCCGGAACGCTCTGGAGCGGCCGCGGCGCCCAATACGTCCTCCAAACCCGCCGGCTCTCAGAGATTTCGAGCTATCCCGATCCGATTTTGTCCTTCGAGCTATCCCGATCCGATTTCGTCCCGACCTTCGCGTCGTTTGACTTCTGGCTCCCGGGGCTGCTCCCGGACGCACGGCCCCCCCCCGGCCGGCCGCGGGGGCCCTCTCGCGCGCGCTCGCGCCCTGCTTCGCCCCGCCGAGGGGCCCCGCTGCGGGCACGCCCCCGCCGTGGCCCGCGGCAGCACGGCGGCGGGGCGTCGAGACCGGCACGGGTCCATGGCAGACGCAGGAGGAGCCCAGCGAGAACCCAGTAAGGGATGCCCTCCCCCTCTCTCTCTCTCTCTCTCTCCCTGTTTGTGTGTTGTTCTCTCTCTCTCTCTCTCTAGTTACATGTATATATATATATATATATATATATATATATATATATATATATGTATGTTTCCCTCGCTCTCTCTCTTTCTGTACCTCTATGTGTCGTTATCTCGTGCTCTTGCTCCTGCTAACCCTCTCTCTTTCTCTTTATCCTACTCTTTGTTTCTCTCTCTCTCTCTCTCTCTCTCTTCTGGCTCTTTTGGAGATAAGCACATCGGTCGGCGAAATGCAGGCTGTAGGCAAGCTCAACAGCAAGTTAGGGAGCGAAGCAGAGAAATGCACAAGGAGAGAAAGAGAGACCATGTGTGAGAGAGACCACCAAACAGCAAACAATGACCCTGCAACGTACCCAACCCAGTTGCATTTACTGACAAGAGGAGCTGAACAAGACTAGGATGGCAAATGACAACGCTATATATGTTGGCTGTGCAAGCTAGATGGGAAACGCGATCGTTGCACGACTCACAGGACAGCAACATAAGGATGAGGACTGAGGCTCAGGCGACACCGACCGCGAAACAACTGCGACGACATGAGAACGTGGTAGTTCGGAGCCCCGGAGGCACAATTGCTCCCCACACCTCTCGAGGGGGTTCTTGGTAGGATTTTAAGTTTCCACCCAGACCCCCCGCAAAAACCCTCTCATGGAGGTAGGGGGGGACGGGTTTGGGTGAATTGTCCCTTGGGAACTCCCCAGAACCCATGCGAGTTCGGAGTGCTCCAGGACGGCCCCATATAGGCCCACGGCACTCCAAAGGTCAATGTATACGTCCGTATACGAAACGTAAACGAAGATTCACACACCGTGTATGAATCGCACGGGTCGCGCACACGGGAATTATCAGAACCGTATACGAAACGTCAGCGAAACGTATAAAACCGTGTGCGACACGCATGCGAAACGTATATGAAACGTGTACGACACGTAGATGGGACGTACATGACACGTATACGAACCGTCATTGAACCATACATGACACTTACATGCGACCAGCATACATGAAACATATACGAACCGTGGCGGGGATGCAAAGACTATGAAGCATATGTGAAACGTATGCCTGAAACGTACATGGAACGTATACGAAACGTGCATGCAGCGAAAACGACGCGTACAGGAAACGCGCACGGGACGCAGACTCGACGTCTGTATGACATGTACAAGGCACGGAGATGAGAATTCTATGGCACGTGTACGATGCGTAGACGGAACGGAGGACAACGTTTATTTTTTTTACAGCCGCAGGCGGAAGCGCCAGCGGCGGCGGGTCACGGTCGGGCTGCGGCCGTGACGAATTAGCCGGGCGCGCGCGGGGGCCGCGGATCAGGCGGCGGTGCAAACTGGGAGGACAACGTTTACGCAGCGTGTACGAAACGCACATGGCCCGTAGTTACAACGTCTATGAGACTGGGATCGGCGCGTGCCCCACGGAATCCCGACTGAGACGCTGGATAAACTAGAACGAGTCTGCGGGAGGCCAATACGCGCGAGCCTCCGAATTGAACTGTTGCTGACAAGCACATAGGATACTCAAGACTTCTGCGGGAGGCTGGTGCCAGAGCATGTCTGAGCCAACTCCCCATGAAACACACGCGAAGGTTGAAATACCTATGCGGGAGGTCCAACGCGTCCAACACTGCCAAATAGACCTTCAAGATCGCCCCAAGACGTCCCAACAAACTCCCAACATGGGCCCAACACGGCCCAAGAGGGCCCCGAGACGGCACACGAGGCCCCCGGGACAGCCCAAGACAGCCCTAAGAGGAACCCCATCGGGGGAACGCGACTTCGACTTCCTAGCTCGCCGACCCGCAAGATCGTCCCCAGACGCCCGCGATGGCCTCCAAACGGCCCAAGACGCCGCCAAGAAGCCCCAAGAGAGCCTCAAGAGGCTCTCCCAGAGAGCCTCAACAAGCCCAAAGTGCCCCATTCCCTTTCAGAAAACGTGCATGTTGCCCATATACGACGTTTCGGGGCCCAGCGCGTCCAACACTGCCGAAGGGACCTTCAAGATCGCCCCAAGACGGCCCAACAGACTCCCAACATGGGCCCAACACGGACCAAGAGGGCCCCAAGACGGCCCACGAGGCCCCCTGGACAGCCCAAGACAGCCCTATGAGGGGCCCCATCGGGGGAACTCGAATTGAACTTCCTAGCTTGCCGACCCGCAAGATCGTCCAACGACGCCCAAGATGGCCCCCAGACGGCCCATGACGCCGCCAATAAGCCCCACGGGAGCCTCAAGAGGCCCTCCTAGAGAGCCTCGAACACGTAGAACCTCGAATCGAATCGAAATGGACCTGCCAGGCGCCTCTCTCAACACAGCCCCACGATGGCCCAAGACGGCTCCCGAGATGGCTCAAGAGGAGGCCACACTGGCCCAAGAACGCCCCGAAACGGCCCCAAGAGGTGCCGAAGAGCCCCCACCATCCCCCCAGGCCGCCCAAGATGGCCTCAAGTCGGCCCAATAGACCGCCAAGACGGCCCAAGAGGCTTCATCTCCTCCTGCTCCTCATCTTCCTCTTCCTTCTCCTCCTCCTCCCCCCTCCTCCTTCTCGTCCTCCTCATCCTCCCTCCTCCTCCTCCTCCTCCTCATCATCATCATCCCCCTCACTCTCCTCCTCGTCCTCCTCATCCTCCTCTTCCTCCTCTTCCTGCGGTCGCATTCACAAGGTGCCACCCTCCAAAACGGACCTCCGATCTGCGACATGGCCCCACAGCAACCATCCAGAATCATCAGCCCCTCACCGACACAAGCAATCACCGACCAGTCCCGTAATCACCAACCGATTGCCCCAGGACGATCCCGCCAGAATCTGCGACGAACCCCCGAAACCAAATCCACAGTCACTGCGACCCCTCAGGAATACACCCCCAAATCGATAGAGGTGCGACAGGAAGGGCCGGCGGAATGAGCGAAGCGATTAAGTAACTATGCGGGAGGCTGGGATCTCCGCATTTCCCAATTGGGTTCCGACCGAACGCAACTAGCAAATAGTGAAGGATCCTGCGCGGGGAGGGCCTGGTGAATTTCCTGTTGAATTTCTGTTGCAGAGCGAACCGAAGACTGGAACCGCAGGCGCACTTCGCGCGCGCCTGCAATCTAGCGCAGTCCATGCCGCTGTGGTGAGACGCAGGTCAAGCATTAGGTCGAATGTGTCTTCCTACAGGTGGATTTTGGACGAAACGTCAAAAATAATTCGAACACCTTCAAAAAAGCTGGAAATAATCGAAACATCGTCTCGTCCTCTTACTATTTTCTGACCATTTTCGAATATTCCTCCTGTAGAGGGACAGGCCCGACTTAAGTCAAGCCGTCCTCGGCCTCCCCTTGTCCTGCCCCCTCCGGGTCCGAAGCGTGTCGGTCGGCCGCCCGAGTCCCTCGACGCGTGGCCCGGAAAAAAAAACAACACGAGTGAAGGGAGAGGGGGGGGACGGGGAAGGGAGGCGGAGGGATGGATCGAGGATCGACACTCTGGGTGGGATATTAATCGAGGGGTGCTTGCCCATCCCCTCCTCCACGGAGCTTGCCCATCCCCCTGCCCCCCTCCTCCGCCTCCTCCTCCTCCTCTCCAGCCCCCTCCTCCTTCTCCCGCCCCCTCCTCCTCCTCCTCCTGCTCCTTCTTCTCCTGTTCCTCCTCTTCTTCCTCCTCCTCCTCCTCCTCCTCCTCCTCCTCCTCCTCCTCCTCCTCCTCCTCCTCCTCCTCCTCCTCCTCCTCCTCCTCCTCCTCCTCCTCCTCCTCCTCCTCCTCCTCCTCCTCCTCCCATCCACCCGTTCCGACAACACGTGCCCACCCACCCCAGCGGGCGGATCCAAGGGGAGGACGATGATTGCCCCATCCAGAGCAGGGACTGACATCCCACCAGCCCTCTGGGCGTCGGTGGTTAGAACGTTTCCTCATCCACCCCTCCTTCTTCCCCTTCGGGGAGGGGTTTATCACTGTTCCCTATTAGTAAACACCCCCTCCCCCAGGCGACCGGGGGCCAACCCAGGTCCATGACGACACCCCCCCAGAATCCCTTGTAAAAAACAATACAAACACACACTCTGCCTCCAAATTCAAAACATGCGCAGCCAACCCGATGCGCCCCCCCCCCCATCATCCCTGTGAAAAAACAATACAGAGTACATTTGGCAGAGGCGGCGGCGGCTGCGGCGGCGGCGGCTGCGGCGGCGGCGGCGGCGGCGGCGGTGGCGGTAGCGGCAGCGGCTGCGGCGGCGGCGGCGGCGGCGGAGGCGGCGGCGGCGGCGGATTGGCCCCCAGTAGCTACCCATCCAAAGACGACTGCTGAATATGCTGAGGCTCGGGCCAGACTCGAGTGCTACATATGTGTTGGGAGGGCGGGTGGGAGTGAGCGAGGCGGCTTGCGGGCGGGGGGGGGTCTTGATCACTGTTCCCCATTAATAAACACCCCCTCCCCCAGGCGACTGGGGGGCAACCAGGGTCCATGCCGACCCCCCCCCCATCCCTAGTAAAAAACATTGCAAAACACACTCTGCCTCCAAATTCGGAACATGCGCAGCCAACCCGATGCGCTCCCCCCCCACCATCCCTGTCAAAACACAATACAGAGTACACTTGGCGGCGGCGGCGGCGGCGGCTGCGGCGGCTGCGGCGGCGGTGGCGGCGGCTGCGGCGGCTGCGGCGGCGGCGGCGGCGGCGGGCGGGGCGGGGGCGGCGGCGGCGGCGGGCCGCGGCCCCGGGCCGGCGGCGGCGCGGTGCGGCAGCGGCAGCGGCAGCGGCGGCGGCGGCTGCGTTTGGCAGCGGGGGGCGGGCCGGCGGCGGCGGGCGGCGGCGGTGGCAGCGGCTGCGGCGGCGGCTGCGGCTGGCTGCGGCTGCGGGCGGCGGCGGGCGGCGCAGGCGGCGGCGGCGGCGGCGGCGGCGGCGGCGGCGGCGGCGCGGCGGGGCGGCGGCGACGGCGGCGGCGGCGGGGCGGCGGGCGGCGGCGAGGCGGCGGTGGCGGCGGCGGCGGATTGGCCCCCAGTAGCTGCCCATCCCAAGACGGACTGCTGAATATGCTGAGGCTCGGGCCAGACTCGGGTGCTACGTATGTGTTGGGAGGGCGGGTGGAGTGAGCGAGACGGCTTGCGGGCGGGAGGGGGTGACTTGACCCCTCCCCCTACCCCCTCCCCTGGCCTGGACGGGGGGGTCGCGAGGTGTCAAGGCGTCCAAAACGGCCTCGGCGAGGATGCCAACATCATTGGTTTTCATCCGGTTTTGGCCCCATTTTGGCCTCTTGGGGGGGACGCTAATTTAACACACACACACACCCCCTCGTGTTTGATCGATCTCCTCTAAGATGGCCCAAGAAGCGCCCAGGAGGCCCCAAGAGGTCCCAAGATGGCCCCGAGATGGCTCCAAGAGGCCCCCAAGAGGCCCCCAGGAGGCCCCCACAAGGATCCCAAGCGGCCCCAAGAGGCTCCCCTGAGGCACCCAAGACCCCGAAGAGCCCGCCCAGGAGGCCCCAAGAGGTCCCAAGATGGCCCCGAGATGGCCCCAAGAGGCGCCCAAGAGGTCCCTAGGAGGCCCCCAAGAAGACCCCAAGCGGCCCCTGAAGAGACCCCCAAGACGTCCCAAGAGGCCACCAAGAATCGCCCAAGAGATACCCTACGAGGCTCCGAGAGGCATCCAAGAGACCTCTGGCCATCGTGCTTGCCCTCCTCCTCCTCCTGTTCCTCCTTTCTCCTACTACTCCTTCTCTTCCTCCTCCTCCTCCTCCTCCTCATCATCATCATCATCATCCGCCTCCTCCTCCTCATCCTATTCATCCTCCTTCTTCCCACTCCCTCATCCATCCATCCATCCACCACCTCCTTCTCCTCCTCACTTCTTTGCACGGTTCGGCCGTCCCCCTCTTTGCTGCCGCACTTCCCTGATCACCTCAACTCGCCTGCACATCGTTTCTGGATGGGCTGGTGGGGATACGCGAAGCGTCTAGAATTTTAAACGAGGTTCCTCGGGGGCTCTTGGGAAGCCTCTGGGACCCTACTGAGAGCAAGTTGAAGGTCTCTGGGAGCCTCTGTGAGGTTTCTTGGGGCGCATTGGGGGCGTTGCCGGGGCCTTGCGCTCCGGGGGGGCTCTCTTGAGGCCGTCTTGGTTCGTCCTGGCCCCTCTTGGGGGGCCTCTTGGGCAGTCGTAAGTCTTGGGGCCGTCTTAGGTCTTGGGGCCGCCTTGAACTGGTCCTAGGAGACAGCGTCGGGGCAGCAATGACAGATTAGCTCAAGCGTGTCGGCATAACCTTGGGCGACGACCTGGCCAGGACCTGGGTACTTGTCATCCTTCGAATCATCCTCATCATCCGCAGCAGCGTCAAGAATGTGTCAAGGAAGGAGTGGGGCACGATATCTGGAGCATTCGAAATGATCCATGGTGTTTGGTTGAGACTCGAGGCTCTCAGAAGTGGGTATACATGCTGTTCGCACGCTGGTGACGAATTCTACCGCTGACGATACATGCTGCACTGGACTTCGTGACAGGGCGACTCTGAGAAGCCCACGTCGGCCAGCGCTCGAAAGGCTCGGCGCCAGCCTCTGATCAAAGGGGTGTCTTCCAACTGCTTGCCGAGGACTGCCGCCGGGACCGCCCTGGCGGGAACGCTCGCAGTGCCAGCCTTTAGCTGGACACGACCCGTGGCATCCCTGGCGGTGCCCCCCCGACGATGGAACGGGCACCTCTGTACAGCTAAAGCAGTGCTGGGATCGGGATACATCGCTCCGGAGCGCTCCGGAGCGCTCTCAGAGCGTTCCGGAACGCTCTGGAGCGGCCGCGGCGCGCACTACATCCTCCAAACCCGCCGGCCGCCGGGACCGCCCTGGCGGGAACGCTCGCAGTGCCAGCCTTTAGCTGGACACGACCCGTGGCATCCCTGGCGGTGCCCCCCCGACGATGGAACGGGCACCTCTGTACAGCTAAAGCAGTGCTGGGATCGGGATACATCGCTCCAGAGCGCTCCGGAGCGCTCTCAGAGCGTTCTGGAACGCTCTGGAGCGGCCGCGGCGCGCACTACATCCTCCAAACCCGCCGATTCTCAGAGACTTCGAGCTATCCCGATCCGATGTTTTGGACACCCGAAATGGGTACCGAAAGAATGGGCACAATGCCCAACAACAAATGTTGTCCCACATCAACAGCGGCCGCTGTTGGTCAGGCGGCCTCCTGTCTCAAATGGACACAGGCCGCGGCGGCGCGGACAGCGAATCCTGTTCAAGATGGGCAGGAACTGCTGTTCGGCATCGTACCCATTAGGCGGCGAGCGAGGGGGGGAAGTGAGAAGGGGCGGGCCTTCTCAGAAGGTTCAGAAGTCCCCCGGCCTTCTGAGAAGTTTTCTAAGCCTTCCCCGAGCACAGAAAAAACTTCTCGGAAGGCGCGAGGGCTTCTGAGAAGTCCCGCCGTCTTCTGAGAAAGCCTTCTCCTTCTCACTTCCCTCCCTCGCTCGCCGCTGACCCATTCTTTCCGTGCCCATCTCGTTCGTGCAGAGATGTTGTCCCGACCTTCGCGCCGTTTTCTCACAGCGCCGGCGCTCGCCATGCAGCGCCCGAAAACCATGCGGGCCCGCCCGGAGCAGAGCCTCGGCCACAGCAGGGCTCGCGGCTGGTGAGGTCCCAGCGACAATCCCGGAATCCAGGAGGAGGAGGAGGAGGAGGAGGAGGAGGAGGAGGAGGAGGAGGAGGAGGAGGAGGGGGAGGAGGGGGAGGAGGAGGAGCAGGAGGAGGGCGGAGGACGGAGCACTTGGATCACGATCCAAGTGTTTTTAAAGAGGCCCCAGGCCACACAAGTAAAGACACACAAATAAAAACATATGCCCCATCTTTTCCCAGATGTTCTGGGTGTCTGTCTTCCCCCCAACTTCCCATAGTTTCCCAGATTGTACTGGGACTCGACGATGAATTGTGTCTGTGTGTTTTTTCCCCTCCTGAGTTTTTCTCACCCAGGAACACTTGGATCGCGATCCAAGTGTTTTCTAACGAAGAACACGGGGCAGCCCCAGAGGGGAGGCTCGGGGAGGAGAGTCCGGGAGGGGAGTCGGGGAGGAGAGTCGGGGAGGAGAGTCGGGGAGGAGAGCCGGGGAGGAGAGTCGGGGAGGCGAGTCGGGGAAGAGAGCCGGGGAGGAGAGTCGGGGAAGAGAGTCGGGGAGGAGAGTCGGGGAGGAGGTTCGGTCAGGAGAGTCGGGGAGGACTCCGCCTCGGCACTCCTCGGCACCCCTGGTTTGGCGCTCCTCCCTTGGCACTTCTCCTCGGCACTCCTCCTCGGCACTCCTCGGCACTCCTCCTCGGCAGTCCTCGGCATTCCTCGGCACTCCTCGGCACTCGTCGTCGTCGTCGTTGTTGTCGGCGTCGTCGTCGCTGTCGTCGTCGGTCGTCGTCCGCCAGTCGTCGTCGCCGCGACCGCCGCCGGCGTCGTCGTCGTCGGTCGTCGGCCCTCCTCCCCACCCATTCCCAGGCGTCGCCGCTAGGCGTGCCACTCGCACCCCCCTGCCGAAGTTCACCATTGCAAACTCTTGACGTTTCGCGTACCCCCATCGTGGCTTCCCGTGGCTTCCACTTGCCCTCCCATCGTGGCCCCCAATGACCCCCCGTCGTGGCCCCTATTGTAATTGTGTGCAAGCTGTTTAGGGTGTTCTGCCGCAAAGGTGCCAGATTTAATCCGCATCTGTTGGGGAATCCCGATCGTGTCGAACGGCACGAGGAAGGTGAAGAGGAGGAGGGAGAAGGCAAGAAGAAAGGAGGAAGGAAGGGACGGACGATGACAAGACGGATGAGAAATCGAGCTTTTACGATGTGTTGTTGTGGACGGTTCTTGGAGGACTCCGAAGACATCCTCACAATTCTGACCTCGGGGATGTCCTGCCCCATGGTGGTCCGGCCACTTTCGCCTGAGACATCCTCGCAAACCTGGGTTCCGGGCTGCCCTGAAGTGAGGTGGTCAGGCCACTTTCGCCTGAGACATCTTCGCAACTCTGACCTGATAGATGCCCTGCCCCATGGTGTTCCGGCCACTTTCGCATGAGACATCCTCAAACTCTGGGTTCTGAGATGCCCTGAGCCCAGGTGGTCTGGCCACTTCCGCCTGAAACATCCTCTCAACTCTGTTCTCGGCGATGCCTTGCCCCGTGGTGGTCGGGCCACTTTCGCTTGATACGTCCTCGCAACTCAGGGTTCCGAGATACCCTGGGCTCAGGTGGTCACGCCACTTTCGCCTGAGACATCCTCGCAACTCTGGATTCCTACATTCCCTGAGCCCAGGTAGCAAGGCCACTTCCGCCTGAAACATCCTCGCAATTCTGACCTCGGAGATGTCCGTGGTCTGGCCACTTTCGCCTGAGACATCCTCGTAATTCTGGGTTCCGAGATTCCCTGAGCTGAGGTGGTGAGGCCATGTTCGCCTGATACATCCTCGCACCTCTGACATCGGAGATGCCATGCCCCATGGTGGTCCGGCCACGTTCGCCTGAGACACTCTCGCAAATTAGTAATCCGAGATGTCCTGAGCCATAGGCGCACATCCGAGATGCCCTGAGCCACAGCCATCTGGATATACACTTCGTGCAAAACACAGCCACATGAAGAACACATGATGAAACAACACATGGATCCATGCGCACATACATGTGTTCCACAGGCGCATGTGATTGTATTTGCGCACGCGCGCACGCACGTACAACACACATAGTCGGCGCGGCTCGGGGACGAAGGGTCGGGGAGGAGAGTCGGGGAAAAAAGTGGGGGAGGAGAGTCGGGGAAGATAGTCGGGGAGGAGTCGGGGAGGAGACTCGGGGACGAGACTCGGGGACGAGACTCGGGGGCGAGACTCGGGGACGCGACTCGGGGACGAGACTCGGAGAGGAAACTCGGGGACGAGACTCGGGGACAAGACTCGGGGAGTGGACTCGGGGACGCGACTCGGGGGCGAGACTCGGAGAGGAGGCTCGGGGACGAGACTCGGGGACGAGACACGGGGACGAGACTCGGGGACGAGACTCGGAGACGAGACTCGGGGGCGAGTCTCGGGGACGAGACCCCGGGACGAGACTCGGGGGCGAGACTCGGGGACGAGGCTCGGGGACGAGACTCTCGGGCTGTCTATTCGGGCGCTCCGCGGGGCGCGGCGCGCCCGAAACACCTGGATCACGGTCCAACAGGTTCCTGGGATCGTGACTTCAGGGCCTTCCCGGTCCCAGCAAGATTCGGGATGGATCCAGACGCGAGATCCGGTGCCCCTGGCAGCCTCATAGGGGTGCCGAGGGCCTCCGGCTATGGCAGCAGGAGAGGAGGCAGTAGGCAGTAGGACAGGGGGAGGGCCAGAGCCAGGAGAGATGGCACAGCACCTCGGCCTCGCGAGGGCGAGCGAAGGCCAGGGCTCAGGTCGGGCGAAAGGGGGGGGGGATAGCAAAGGGGGGGTCTGAGAATCGGCTCACGTAGCTGATTTTCCCGGCGCCGGCCCTGGCGCCGGAAGGCGCCCATGTATCGAGGAATGGGCCCGGCGGCGGGGCCGAAACCAGCTACATGCAGCAGATGTCGTACCCCCCCAGTTCCCACCCCCCCCCCTTTCGCCCGACCCGAAGGGAGGGCCTGCGTCTCACTCCGCCGCCTCCATCTGGCTGAGCTGCGCCTCCGCCTCGCCTGCGGGCAGGGCCGCCGCACGGGCCCGAGACCACGCGCCGCAGCGGATGCCGGCTGCCGCGCCGCCGAGCGCGAGCGCGCCCGCCAGCGCGGCCCCCAGGGCACCCCACGTCGCCGGCGAGGCGGCGGAGCCCCCCGAGCTGCGCACGTCCTGCGAGAGGTGCAGGCGCTCGGCCTTGACGACGAACTGGCTCGCCGGGGCGCTGCCGCCGCCGGGCGCCGGCGCCCCGCCTCCAGCCCTCAGGGGCGGCCGCTCCGCGAGCTCCGCGACTCCCAGCCTGGCGCCGTCGAAATCCAGGATCAGCGCATGGCGCAGGAGGAAGCCGCTGCCGAGTACCCACTCGCCCAGGCCCTCGGCACCGTGCCCAAGGGCCGGCAGCCAGTCGCTGTCGAGGCGGCGAGGGGCTGGAGGCTCAGTGCACTCGGTCTCGTTCTTCCGCGTGCGGCCGCTGTCATCGGTCACCAGCGTCGTCGTGCAGACAGTACCGTTCGACAGCGTGACAGTGGTAACCACCTGCGTGCCCTGCACGGGGCCCTCTGGTGCTGACCCGCCCTCTGAGGAATTGCTACCGGCGGGCCCGCCCATCAGCCCGCTGAGCAGCCCTGCGAGTCTTTCGCCGCCCGTCGCCTCGTGCCCGAGGAGGCCTCCGAGCAGCCCTCCGAGTAGGCCTCCGACCGAGTCGTGGGTCAGGTTGTCCTGCAGGGACGCGTTCCGCGCGGAGGAGTTGAGCGAGGCCGTGGTGTTCAGCGCGTTGCTCAGGGCCTCCCCCGTGGCATTCAGCAACTCGCCCACCAGGCCATCCGCGGGTGTCGAGCCCCAGTCGGGCGCGTCGGGGCCAGCGCCCACGAGTGGATCTGGCAGGCCGAGGGCGTTGCCACTCGAGCCGGGGACCCCGCTGGGCTCGCCGGCGCTCGCGTTGCCGCGGTCGCCCAGCCCCCCGAGGGTGGCCCCGAGCTCACCGAGGAGCCCTCCGTGGCCTGGCGCGCCATGGGCACCAGGGTTCCCCAGGGCGGAGCCCAGGAGGCCCCCCAGTAGGCCTCCGTCCGGCCCCCCGAGCAAGCCTCCGTCTTCTGGCAGCGCCCCGCCCGGCAGGCCAGGGAGCACCCTGTGCCCTTGCCTCTTCCGAATCTGCAGCTCGCAGAGCTCGGGGCCGCTCCCCTGCGCGGGTGCTGGCGCCCCGGCGAAGAGGTCGCCGAACGACAGGTTGAACGATGCGTTGCCAAAAAATATGCGCAGCGGGTTCATCTCTTCCTCGGCAACGGAGCACTCGCAGACGAGCGGCTCCACCTCAGAGGGATCGCTCGCAGAAGAGCCCCCGCACGCGCGGTCCAGGGCGCCCTCTGGGAAGAGCGACCCCACCAGCGCTTCCCAGTCCTGCGGGGGCACGAGCAGGACCTCGCTGGCCCCGGTGTCCGCCTCGAAGACGACCTCTGTGGGCTGCTCCTTCGTGACGGCGACGCCGCCGCGCACCGTCCAGGAGCCACGCTGGCGACCGCCCCCTCCAGCGGACGCGCTGGTCATCGCCTCGGCCGGCGCCCACGCAAGCGCGCCCGCCCGGAGTGACCCCTCCACGTGCTCGCCGACGCCGAAGCTAATCTCGCTGCCTGCGGAGGGCACCAGTGAAAAAAGGCCATCCCGCCCCGTTTCCTTGAGGTGCTCGTAGAGTGGCGCGGGCGCCAGGGCAAGTCCAATCCAGCCCAGACCGCAGACTGCGTCCCACCCGGGGCTGTCTGCCCGGCCCTCCCATAGGTCCGTCTCCTCGACGATCACGAAGGTCTGGTTCTTGAGCTCGAGATCACCGAGCGACAACGTCTCCTGCGCCTCGTACCCATAGAAGCGACTGCCGTCGTAGGTCATCTCCACCGGCGTCGGACGTCCATCCGTCAGCTGGGGCGAGAAGGTCGTGGACTTGTCGGCGTCGAACGTCTGGCCTCCCGCGGCGCAGCCGCTGCACCTCTTGGAAGGCACCCAAATGTCAGCACTGCTGGTGTCGAGCAGACACCTCAGCCTCTGCGATGGGGTGCCGAGGCTGATCTCGACTACGGGCACGCCATCGGCGGTCGCATGTGCTGGCACTGCCACGCCGACGGCAGCTGCGGCACAGAGGGCCACAAGGACGGCCAAGACACAGCGAGCGGGCAT